AACGCGAAGGCTGGACTCGAACCGCTGAAGCTTCGACCATTTCTGGCCGGCAACTTTCAGCTTCATTAAGCCGCTGCGCCACCGCGTCCCCCTAGAAAAGCATGTAAAAGTATAAATTCATAAAATCTGTACAAAAATATGTAAAATTCAAAATATATTTGGTAAGTTAAGAGCTATATATATTTGAGAACATGGGCTGCCTTTACCAGATGTACACCAACTTACACATCTGTACTAGACATTACTGAATTGTATAGGCTGTTGGCCTGATTCCATTGTTTCTATCATAAATTGTTCTACGGAGATGTACAAAATACCATTTTCAGTTTCTTGGAAAAGCAAGTACTAATGTTGGTGTCCTAAAATATTGTGGTAATTGTTTGAATCAATAAGAAAGTAACAACCTCAGGGGAAGGGAAAACTAAAAACTGTGGGTATGCAATTCAACGTAGTAGAATGCTTATTTGAATTCCAGTAACTATAGCTGTAGACCTCTTCTTTATATGAATACACACATAGACACATAAACTCCCTTTCTCTTGCATGCATATACAAATGTGATTATGTGTATCTGGATATAGCTACATAAGCAATTATTTGCTCAGGCAGATATTCATGAAGGCTTTTTTTTTAACTTGGTGTAGCATTTTAGTTGATTAATCACCTGTCTTTAAGTGATTAATTCACAATGATTATACATATGCACATAACCAGTACATAAACATTGATGACTTTGAGATATTAGAAAGAAGTGTGTTTGCAATTTTTACTAAATAACACTTTCCAGTCAGTATGTTAAAAAAGGGCCATTTTTATAGTTTTTCTTTTGATTGGCTATTACATTAATAAAGCAAACTTTAAAAAAATTCTTTCCTTTGGTCCTATGAATTTAAATCTGCCTTCACTAATTAAAATGTACACTCTTTGATGAATCAATTAAATCTCATGTTGATAACATACTGATTCAAGCTTGCAGCTCTAAAAATAATCAATAATTTAAAATACATAATATTATCTGTAAAGTAATTTAGTGATTTAGAGTTTTATTGTTTAAAGAATTAGGATACTGTAAAACTTTATAACTGAAAGTAAATTAAAAATGAAGCTTGTAAAGCATTTCATCCTTAAAAATCAAAGAAATAGTAACAAAAGATAATCCCTACATTGAAAAGCAAATGTTCCATTTTTACTATGTATAGCATTTGCTATAATACAGTACATCTTGATGTCATCTGTGAACGTGTGCAGCTCTAATTTGTAATCTGTTTTTCTTGGCTGGCTTGAAATAAATTATTTCAACTGAATATTCCATTTCAGAAAGGCTCAGTAAAT